ATATATATATATATATATTCATTTATGTGTAATGTCGAACTACATATATGAATTTAAATAATAGTCTGTTTTGATTCAAATACTCTTTCACATATTAGGCAGAGGGTTTTTCACAACATTTTACATATATTAAAAATCATATATGAAAAATGTTATAGCGAAAGAAAACAAAATTTTCTTGCCTTGGGAAGATGTTACTGTTGATAATTTTAACTATTTATCTTTTTAAGTTTTTAGGTTTTCCTATATAAAAATTATAAGAAAGTGTTAGAAAATAGAGGGAACTTGAAAGTTTTCTATCCCTCCTCTTTGTATCTTGATCTTCTTTGCAATTTGGCTCGAAACAATCATTAAACTATGTTTATTGGTCATTAAATAATTTTTATTTTTACTATTTTATGAGTTTAAGTCTGATCCTTCTCACATAGTTTTATGAGTTTTGATATAAGAATAATAACATAGAAAAGGTCATCAACACCTAAACGTGAGTGACACCTCATTGTTACGTGATTAAATGATTCATCGTCATCGTACATAAGATTTGACTCAGTCAATCGTTATCTCACGCAACACATTTTTCAAATTCAATGCTAAATGATTACATATATATATAATTAGAGGAAGCATATAATCATTGACCATGACCTCGATCCAACAATCAAATATCGTACTATAAAAATTCTCAAGGTATGTTCTCAAGAAGTTTCTCTTTCTCTAGTGAATTATACCTTCTATAATTGACTTCTAATCGAATACTTCAAATCCCATATTCATTTATGATCATCTTAACATAGTGACCCAACGATCAAACATCGTACTATAAAAATTTTCAATGTTCTCATGAAGTTCCTCTTTCTCTAATGAATTACACCTTCGAATACTTCAAACCCCATATTAATTTATGATCATCTTAACATAGTAACTCATCTTATGACTTCGAGTTTACGCTAAACTTACTCTAATCAACTTTGCGCCCCTCCGCATATTAGGTAACCAAATAATTTCAGTGATTATTTGTATCTTAAATAACATCGGCTTGAATTTTGTGATCGTTAAGCTCTTAAGAAAATTCACACTGTTACATGATTGTTGTCCGTATAAAAAACCAAAGAATCACTGAGAAAATGATTCGTTCTTCATTACTCATTCAGTGTACTTCTATATACAACAATGTTAAGACATAAAAATAGAAAATATCAACCTAATTTCTAGGAAAAAAAATTACATAAAACGTAATAAATTGTGTAGAACCATATTTCATAATACTATACAATAAAATCCTAAAAAAAATCTTCATTACACAATTATTTGAATTGTTCCTTTAGACCTCTTTTGGATTATTTTCCTATGAATCTTTATTTGATTTCTCTTTTTTTTTTTTGGGATCTCCTTTTGAATTAATTTCTTGATTACATGCAAGTGTTATGATAGTTAGAAATATTCTCGAGAATTAACGTACAATAAAATTAAAACCCACCGTTAATCGAGAAACGTCATATCACATCGTCCCACACCAGACGACACGTTTCACTCCAACACCGCTGGGTCCTACATTCGTGTGTCCCACGTCAGTTGTTGCGTGCAGGTAAGTAGACGCGCGGCGGTTCAGCGAACCTGTTGTCACCGTATTGTGCGGAATTCCGACACCAAACACGCTTTTATTCCCACAGTTCCGCGCCAAGTCAGCCATGCAAGTTACTCCGAGGCAAATCATTGGAAGCCACCGTAGGACGCTGCAAGATCTCCCACTCGTAAAAGCCACGTACTTCGTAACCCTCTTCATATCATCTGCAGCTAGCCTTCCCTTCCCTCCTCCGTTGCACCACCTTCTTCCATGGGTACTCTACTCTCCCACCCCTCGCCGGGCGCCTCCGGCGGAAGAGTCGTGCTCTCCGATGGCACCGTCCACGAGTTCGAGCGTCCGATCCCCGCCGCCGAGCTCATGCTCGACCACCCACGGCAGGTCGTCGCCGAGGTGCAGCTGATCTCTGGCGGCAGTGGCAGCAGCGCTGAGCTCACTCGGCCGCTTCCCGCCGACCACGTACTGAACCCAGAGAAGGTATACGCCATGCTTCCGATGGCACGGAAGAAGGCCGGGGCGTTGTCCGCCGAAGAGGTCCGCCGGATCCTGGCATCTCTCGGGGGGACACCCAGAAGGAGTGACATGAAGGATGTGGTGCTGACGGCGAATGAAGCGGTCGGACGAAGGGAATGGCCGGTGCCGGAGTTCTTGATGAGGCAGCACTCAAGCAAGAGGTGGAAGCCAAGTCTACTTGCCATAGAGGAGGGGCATCCGATGAGGAAGCTGCCTCACTGGTTGTTCTGAGGAGACAAGACGAAGGGACAGTCGATCACAGGAAGAGATACGATGGCATATGTAAGGGAAATCACATTAGAGAAGGCACCCATAGATTGCATTTG